ATTAACACTGAACATACCTGATGGATCAGCTTTCCACTTCAATTTATCATCATTGGTTGATGTGATGGAAAAGAGATAAAAAGATAAAAAGATAGATTATATAGGTTATGCCAAACCAGGCCTAAATGAGTAAATGCTCCCCTGTTTCTTCAACCTTATAACGAAACACACACAACACATTCGAATTAGGATCAAGCATCCCCATATTTCTTGACATCACTGCTGTTTTGATTCTCCCTTTCCAATCCAACAAGGACAAGAATTGAACTTTCAAATGAGCAATATTTTTCCAAATTAGTTTAGCAATCTCAACCTTAGTTCCAAGATTTGAATCAATCCAACTATAAATAGAATTAACACTGAACATACCTGATGGATCAGCTTTCCACTTCAATTTATCATCATTGGTTGTGTCTAGAGTGATAGAGTAGTGAGAGAGGCGTGTATACTGGTTGTGATCGTAAACAAAGAGAGGAATTAATTGAATAAACACTTCTTTTATTCAATCACAAACTATACAAAACAGAGCTATCTTTCTGTTAACTCTCAAATTCTCTACTCTCTTAGAATTCTTCTTATCTAGATATTTTATGTTTCTCACTAGAGATTACATTTTTTCTCCTACTCTATCTCAAACAAGCATATAACCTATTTATTTATAGATTTTCAATCCGTGTACAACCCTGTGTGTACAGTGTTTCTTCATTCTTAAGCTTCAACAATGGAGCTTCCTGGAAGCTTCCTCTTCTTCTTCATTTTGGTTTCCACTTTTTCTCTCTAGAACTTTCCAGCAGTCTCTTACTTGTTCTCCTATTCTCTGGAATTCTCCTTCACCAAATTCAAATTAAGTTTGTTCCAACATCCTCCCTCAAACTCAATTTGTTGGATTATCTACATGATGCCACATATCTACTTATGGAAGACCTTTTATATGGTCTTTGCAGTCAATCCTTTGTTGACTTTTTATCTTTCGAAACAACCACCTATTGTTTGGTGTTGTCAACCTCCTGTTGACATCTTCTCTCTTGTCCATGGCCTTTTTCTCACGGTACATGCCTCTGTCAGGATCTCTTCCTCGCAATATATGTCATATGTCAGGACCTCTTCCTTGTGGAACAACCCTCTGTTGTCCTCTCTCGTCAATCCTTTGTTGACGTATGTTTCTTGGAACAACCACCTGTTGTTCTTTGTCTCTAGATACAATTTTCTATTGTTTATCTTGCAGAACAACCCTCTGTTGTCCTCTCTCTTTTTTTATCAGCAAAGATAAAAGATTTATTGATGATAAAAGAAAAAAACATGCAAAATTACATCAACAAATCAGAAAGTGCACAAAGATTGGTGAGAAGCCAATCAAGAGCAACCAAAAGATGAAAAACAGAACAATAACACAGCAAAAACAGCTTCAAACAGTAGGCCAGACAGAACAACTTCAAAGCAGAACATAAACAACTTCAGCAAAGCAGAACAACCAAATAGTCCATCAGCAAAATAGAACAACTTCAAAGCAGAATATCAGCAGATCAAATGTGTCTCTCTTGTTGTCCTCTTTTGTCCTCTCTTGTCGATCCTCTATTGACGTATGTCTCTGGGAAATAATCACATGTTGTTTTTTGTCTCTAGAAACAACCATCTGTTATTTATCTTGCAGAATAACCATATGTTGTCCACTTCTATCAACCATCTGTTGTCTTATGTCTCTTGGAAATAATCACATGTTGTTCACTGTTGTGCGGAACAATCAACTATTGTCTTTTGTTTCTGCAAACAGCCATCTGTTGTTTATCTCATCTATGATATTTGGGACATCTTCTATCACCTTATCTGTGATGTCTTCTTTGTTGTATACTTTGACTCCCGCTTTGAAGAATAATTTTTTATTTCATCTCTTCAAATAAAATTTGCAAATTACTAATATAGAATTTGTACAATTTGACCATACAGATATGTTCGGAATTCTCTAAATAGCTATAAAGGACTATTGGATCATCAAAATTTGACTTCAAATGGCTTAGATCTGGCCAAAAGAATTTCGACGGTTATGATTAATAATTGCAACTCAACCATGTCACACTAGATAACTTCTTGACTGGTTCATCTTTTCCGGTGAAACAATTGACTTTCTAGGCAAACTTTGACTGTCCTGTATGATTTCGTTTTAGCTCTGTTTGAGCTATTCTTTATATCGTCGAAATCCTCTCAATGAGTACTTTAATATGATATATTCAAAACTGAATTCAACAACTTCAAAAAAAATTAGTTTCTGAATGTTGCAATTATCAACGAACTTCAGTCACTTCTTGGCTCTTCTAGTTTATGGTTCTCGACTCCTCTAGTCGATACGAACTCTCTGGTATATTCAGATATTGATTTCGACACTTTCAAAATATAGACAAATTTGAAAACTCTATTTCTTCAAAATTTTGGCATAAACTGGCTCTTCTTGCTCTGATACCACTGATAAAGTAGTGGAAAAGGGGTATATACTGGTTGTGATGGTATACAAATAGAGGAGTTAATTGAATAAATACTCATTTTATTCAATCATAAACAAATTATACAAAACAGAGATATCTTTCTGTTAATTCTCAAATTCTCTACTCTCTTAGAATTCTTCTTATTTGGAGATGTTATGCTTCTCCCTGGAGATTACATTTTTTCTCACACTCTATCTCAAACAAACACACAACTTATCTATTTATAGATTTTCAATCCGTGTACAAACCATGTGTGCACAGTGTTTGTTCATTCTTAAGATTCAATGATGGAGCTTCCTTGAAGCTTCATCTTCTTCTCTCTGGAACTTTCCAGTAGTCTATTACTTGTTCTTCTCTTCTCTGGAATTCTCCTTCACCAAACTTAGAGGTGGTGCATTAGCTAACAAATCTAATAGTCTGTTTCATTGATCACCTTCCCAGGTAAGCAAGCTTCCTCTAAACTCCAACATCCATTCCGATTAACTTCCCCTGTCATGTATACATCAAACACCACTGCTTCTTTGCAAAGTGCAAGTGTGAAAAGCCTAGGAAAGGTATCTTTAAGACAGTAATTGTCATACCATTTATCAAACCAGAAAAGACACCTATTCCTATTACCTAACTTTATGCTCATGTTGGATTGCATCCATTGAAACACCCTTGGATTGTTCATTACCACTGCAAGTATATCCATCAAAATTCTTGATTTTCTAGTTTGGATGTCCAAGCATGGACTCCATTGGCTATTGTTACTTCTCCATTTTACCATATCTCTACCACCATTTGAAAAGTAAACACAAGTTTACCTCTCTTAGTATTATAATTCCAAGACCCCTAATGAAGAAATTACTTTTAGTACCATTTAAGAAAGTAACGACAATTTTGTCTATGAGTTTCATTCAACCAAGAGATTCTAGTTCTTTTCCAATTACTTTTAGTTTTCTTACTTCTCTTGAAATTATGAAAAAGATCCTATTAGAATATAAATGTTTTGTCCAGATTTCATTGAATTAATATTTTGTCCCTAAGGCCTATCACAGATCCTTTGATTAGCCTTAGTGATTTAGCTCTTTAGAATAACATATTCAAACCTACAGCCATTATGTTAAAGAGAAAGGGTGACAATGGGTCCCCTTGTCTCTGGACATAATTTAGTAGTAGGAGAGCCATTTATAATGATTGAAACTATAGTTGATTGTAGGCATTCCTTCATTCACCTGATCTACTTGTCCTGAAAACCAAAACTTAACATCATGGAAAATAGGCACTCCTAGTTTACAGTATCATATGTTTTTTCAAAATCCAGTTTCAAGATTATCCCTTTCTTCTTTTTCTTCTTCCACTAATCCACTACTTCATTAGATACTAACACCCCATCCAAAACGTTCCTTCCACCAATGAAAGCAGATTGAGATTCTTTTATTATTTTAGGAAAACCTTCTTGAGTCTAAAAGCTAAAACTTAGAAAGAATTTTGTAAAGAGAACCAATGGGGCTGATTGGTCCATAATCTGAAATACCACCTAGGCTATCATTCTTAGGGATTAGTATTATGAAAGAACTGTTAATACCTTTAGCTAAACACTCATTATCATGAAACTCCTTGAACAATTGTAGAATATCTTTCTTAAACACTCCCCAACACTTTTGAAAGCAAGACATGTTGAAGCCATCAAGTCCTAGTACCTTATTACCATCATTCTCTTTCACAGCTCTCCAAATTTTCTCTTTTGAAAATGGTGCAACTAGCCCATCAAATTCATTATCATGGCCAATGGACCTGAAAAAACCTTGAAGCTTGGGTCTGGATTTCCTGTCGTATGAGAATCTCCTTCTGAAATGATTAAACACCTTTTGCTTGACCCTTTGTGGAATTTGTATTTCTTGCCAATGAAAAACACAAGACATCATGTTTCCTCACTAAAACAATGTTTGTTCTTCCATGGTTGGTTTTACGTAATTTAACAAACATGCAAATAAATATCTACTAAAATTTTCTATGGATATATACCTTTCACAATCTATATATACAACTTTGCTGGCTACATCTAAAATATTATCTAATGAATTCCTAAAAGAAAAAGATGTAAAAAGATCTCTGATGTGTAGTTAATTATGAGTTTGAGTTTGAAGATTCACTTTTGTTGATCTCCAAGAAGAATAAGGAAGCGAACAAGGAACTATCAAAGCCGATTACCAAAATATAAAATAGAAAGGGCACTAGCAAAACAATTAAATCATTCAAACAATAAACACAAGCTATTCTTTTTTAATTGGTATTTCGACGAAATATGCTTAATTGAGAATCAATTTGATGATTACCATAGTGTTTGTTGTTTTTTGTTAGTGCAGCAAATAGAAAAAAATAAAATAAAAAAAAAGGAAAAAAAAGAAAAGAAAAGAAAAATGGAAAAATGAAAGGAAGAACAAATGACTTTTTTAAAAAAAAAAAAAATTTAATTTTTTATGATTGAGGATGGGATTGATGCTACATTGACTTGGAAAATAATTTTATTGTTTACAGTGTCAAAGCAACAATTGAAAGGTACAAGAAGGCATGCTCGGGTCCCTCGAATACTGGATCAGTTTCTGAACTAAATGCCCAGGTAAAGCTTAAAAACTTGCAATTTCATCTAATGATGATGGATAATATTCTTTACTATAAAGATTAATAGGTACATATAGATCATTTCTTATTCCATTCATGGTTTCAGATCCAAAACTTCGCCAAAAACTTCTTAGTATATGAATGAAGAAATTCTACAAAATAAAAGAAATATAAAGTGATGACGAAACATGTTATGTATGATATTATTTGAAAGTTCAATTGAATAGCCTAATAACAATTACAAATAAATTGTTCTTTGGGTTTCTTTCAAACACATGAAAAGCATATGTACCTTTAACCAATGATAAGCGAGGAGCACCGATAAGCTAAGCATTAGAAAGGTAAGACCTTTGTTAAATTTTTTGTAGTTACAAATAGTATAAATGTAAATTCCAAGCCAAGACGTTTATGTTATAACTGATTCTTGAGAGGTTGCAATAGGAATTTTAATTTATTTCTTCACCATCCCGACTTTATATTATTTTTTCGTAGTTTTCATATACTCATCCTTTTTCTTGAGACCATAATTACCTGTAGAACATGGTTAATTCAAGAAAAGAAAAATGGTTGGGATAATCATTTGATAGACTTTAGTAAATGGTGCATTTTATTATTCATGGAGATATAAATATACGTTCATAAAATGTTGGATATTAATGGGGATCTTTAGTAGATTTAGTTGCAGTACTTTCTCTTTAAAGTCAAAATTTAACCAAGCTTATTACAATGACTTTTGTTTTGAACTGCAAAGAAAAAACTTTATGGATATAAGTCAATTTTTTCATTTTATTTTATTTTTATTTTTTAGCAGCAAAGAAGACAAATAATATAATTAGATCAAAAAAGGTACACATAGCTTGGAAAGAAATTGCATCATTGTCAAAGCTTAGAATCCTAATTAGGTTGGCACCTAAAGCAAGACTAATCATGTGCATTTCCAAAGCTCCAGAGAGAGTTAGAGAGTTTCCAACTCAAAACACCTCAATACATCCAAACCAATACAACATTACACCCTACCTCCAATACAAAATCTAATTTGCACCATGTTATACAAAAAGTTAGTGATGGAGTAATGGAAGTCCCTAGAAGTGGATTTCAGCCAGATTGCAAGCCTAACAATGATAGCTTCCTTTAACTCCTCCATTTTTGGTTGGATGTCTTTAAATAGGTAGTCGTTCCTGTGCTTCCAAATGGACCAAAGAGCCACCAAAGGTATGGTATTCCCAATTCTCTTCTCATCTTTTATGAAGTTATTCCCTGCCCACCACTGCAAGAGCCTTTCAACTGTTCCAGGCACCACCCATTGAGCTCCCCACCATTTCAATAGACTTGACCAAACTCTCCAAATCATAGGACATAAGATAAGCACATGCTCTACTGATTCTTGGATTGCTTTACAAAATACACATACAAAAGTTGCACTATCATTCAACACTTCAATTCTTTGCAAGAATACTGAAATTTTAACCTCATGTTTCCATGCAAGCTATCCAAAAAATTGTACTTTAGAGGGAAGGTACTTGATCCGCACCAATTTACTAGAACTCTTATACTCACCATACTTTAACTCAGTGCGATTATAAAGAGTTGAGACAAAAGATTGCCCATTTTTGGTTGCTACCCAAATTGATTTATCTTTTACATTCATGTTCAAAACAGGGGCTACACTGATAGACTGATTAAGTGTGTTGAGCTCCTCATGTTCCCATTGGAATAAGGCCCTCATAAAACTGAACACCCAATTTTCAGAGTTACCTTTTTTAACAGCGTATGCCCTGAGTGACCCATCATTATCATTAGACAACTTGAAAAGTCTCTCCTTATCATTAGACAACTTGAAAAGTCCAGGGAATAACTCTTTCAGACTAACTCCTCCATTCCAGCAATCATGCCAGAAACTCACTCTACAACCATTTCCCACTTTGATCTAGAGATTATTGACATAAAATTGTAGTAAGCTGACCATTTGACTTGCTGCTATCAAAATATCACACAAAATCTTGGAGAAACTGTTTCTTGATTGCAGATTTGGTAGCCATTTCTTATCATCAAATTTGTATTTGCTGCAAATCACCTTCTTCCACAGAGTTATTTCCTCATTGGCAAACCTCTACCACCACTTAATTAATAAACAAACATTCATATATCTGATTCTTCTAACTCCCAGCCCTCCTTGCGTTATCCTTTTAGTTACCTCTTTCCATTTCACTAGATGAATTTTCCTATTTAACTCAGAGCCACCCCTATAAGAATGAGGCTTGTAATTTATCAATTTCTTTTGCTATCCCTTTTGGCATCTTGAACGGTGAAAGGTATACACTGGCAGGCTAGATAAGACTGCATTAACTAGTGTTAGCTTGCCCACAAAGGAAAGGAATCTCCTCTTCCAACCAGCAAGCCTGAGTTTAACCTTCTCAACGACAGGTTTCCAAATCAATTTTCTACTAGGACTAGCACCCAGTGGCAACCCAAGATACTTCAGTGGTACTTTCTGAGTTTTGCAATTTAACATGGAGGCAAACTCATTGAGCACAGAGTCAAAAATACCAAACCCACATACCACACTTTTATGATAGCTGATCTTATGCCCTGAGGCAACTTCAAGGCACCTTAAGATCATTTTTAAATTTAACATTTCTGACCATTCAGCATCACAGAACAATAATGAGTCATCTGCAAATTGTAGGTGAGAAACTACCACATCCTTGTCATCAAAGGCCCCGTTTGGTAGAGCTGTGGGAAAGTGATTATAACTTATAGTCTAATAGCTTATAGCTTATAGCTGTGAACATAACTGATATTTTACTTATAAATTAAGCTTCTTATCCCCCACTTAAAGAATAAGTTGATTTTTAACTTACAAAAAGTTATAAGCTGTATTGTTCAGCTGAACCAAACACATCAAAATAGCTTAAATTAAGTTAAAAGTGGAAATAAGCTAGAAATAAGCCCTACCAAACAGAGCCAAAAACTACTCTTTTCAACAGCCCCAACACCCTAGCTCTCACAAGTATTATGTTCAGACGTTCTGCCACCAGGTTGAATAAGAAAGAAGATAACGGATCTCCTTGTCTGAGGCCTTTTTGAGGACTAAACTCCTTAGTTGGTGAGATTCTAGTTGAAGATAGACATTCTTTCATCCAAGAGAGCCATTTTGAGCCAAAGCCAAAGTTAGATAGCATTGAGCATAAGAATTCCCAATTGATGGAGTCATAAGCCTTCTCAAAGTCAATTTTGAATAGTAGCCCTCTTTTCTTGGTTTTTTTCCACCCATCCACAATTTCATTGGCAATCAATACCCCCATCAAGTATGTTTCTACCTCTAAGGAATATTGATTTTGATTCACCAATTACCTCTGGCAGACTATTTTTAGCATACTTGCAAGAACCTCGGTGAGTATTATATAAACTGAACTTATTAGACTGATAGGCCTATACTCATTTAAGATAGTCGCATTGACTTTCTTTAGAATGAGGGTGATGAAGGAACTGTTCAAGCCACTAGCCAATCTGCCCCTATCATGGAATTCTTTCATAAAGAGAATCACATCTTCTTTGAGCACCTTCTATTTTTTTTGAAAAAACATTAAATGAAAACTATCTGGTCCTGGAGTTTTGTTTCCATTACATTCTTTGACGGCTTCCCAAATCTCATCTTTTGAAAATTCTAACTCTAGCATTTGAAATGAATCACTTTGCCTCACACTCTTGAACTCACCACCTACCACAGCCTAACACAGGTCTGTTCCTCCACTCTTCTGCGAAATGCTTTATATAGTGGATCCACACCTCATCCTTGACCTGATTTGGCTCCTCAAGCACCACATTCCCAACTACAATGAAATTGAGGGCATTTCTATTTTTTCTACTAGTAGCCATGACATGAAAATATCTTGTATTCCTGTCTCCTTTCATATTCCCGCCCAACCTTGACTTTTGAAGCAATGTCATTCTATCATTTTACTTAATCTCCACATTTCATTCCTCGCCTCTCTTTTTTGTTTCACTTCAGCATCCTTCAGAGCTCTAACTTCTGCTCTTAGATCTAAGGCATTCAACTCATCTTCTGTTTCTTTTAGTTGTGTTGCCGCATTTCCATATACCTCTCTATTCCACTCTTATAATGCCAACTTTAGAGCATGTAATTTCCTTTGCAAAATGTACCCATAAATCCCTTGAAACTGTAATTCCTTCCAGGTTTTCTTTACAAAAGGTGCAAATTTTGAGTGCAAGAGCCAGGCATTTAAGAATTTGAAAGGTTTAGGGCCCTAATCCTTCTTATCCTCCATAAGCACTATTAGGCAATGATTAGAGACCATCTTGGGCAGGTCCCAAAGTTTGAATTTGTATCTCTCGAACCACTCTAGACTAAGAAGAAATTAGTCAATTCTACTCTATTTATTTCCATCATGGGCATTACACCAAGTGAATATTCTCCCTACCATTTGCATATCAGCCACGTCACATCTATGTATGAACTCATTAAACTCTTTCATGCCTCTATCTCTTATAGAGTTTCCTATTATTTCCGCCAAATTTCTGATCTTATTGAAATCACCATCAAGACACCATGGCTTTGGAAAGAGCTCTTCAAATTTAATAGAAACTCCCATAACTTACCTCTCCTTATAATATCATTAGGAGCATAGATATTTAAAATAACACAATCAAAAGAATTAAGAATGGTACCTAAGAGCAAGATGAAGTTTCTATTACTACAACAGTCTGAGAGTTTAAAGATATCAGGATCCCAGATGCATCACAATCCACCAGCCAACCCCATTGCATCCACAACCAAGAATTCCATCTTATCTCTAGGCCACAAACTTCCAACAACCAAGGTAGACATGCTTAGTTTTTTTGTTTCTTGAGTCAGGGCCATATCAATTTTTTTATCAAACAGCAGATTCTTAATCTTTCTCTTCTTTTCAAGTCTTCCAACCCCCTCTAATATTCCAACTTAGTATCTTTGTAACAACAATTTTTGGCTCTTCATCCACCCAACATTAGTAATTGCATAGCTACATCAAACCTCCCTTATATCCTCTCCTTATCATTCTCCTCTAATTGTACAAATTTGTTAATAATTTCTGCATACTGATCCTTGCAGCTGAGCCCCAAACTTTTCCCCATAAGAAGTGTTGCTTGAGCCTCTTGTAGTTTATCTGTTTCACAAGTGGGTTGATTGTTAACTGGAATTGGCCTTGGCACTGCTGTAGATCTAGCCACCGAGCTTTTCTGATACACTTTGCTTCTCCCTGCTCCTACTCCTTTGTGCCCAATTCTTCTAACAAGCCTAGAAAACCCACCTACTACCATTGGATTTTTAGTTCCTCCATTTCTAAACACTTTTCTTTTGTCTTTCTTAAACTGGTTATTGATGGAACTACCACTAAAGGCACTAATGGTATCACTAATTTTTTATTTAGAGCCCACCCCTGTGAGTCCACCTCCTGTACTTGCCAAAAGGTGACTAAGCCCATTACCATCAGAATTATACTGGACTAGCCCAATGGGCTGAGGCCTAGATTGATCTTGGCCCAAATCTACCTCTAAACTAATCCTAGGTCTTTTTTTTGTGTTTCACTTAAGCATCTAATAAAGCTTGGAGTGACTATCTTCCCATTAACTTTTTGAACCTCAGTAACTTTTCCCAAATCATTATTGCACATCTGCTGCTGCTGCATACTTTCCACTGCCATCATTCTATCAGCCACGCCTAATCCTTCTTCATTTGATTTTCCCATGCACTCTTTAGTCTCTTTCACCACTGATATATGAAGCCAACTGTCACGTACCTCTACCTCACCTCCCTCCTTCAGCCTAGATGTTGAATCACTTTTTGCCTTCTCATTTTTTCCTTCCACCTCACCATTCATCTCAGCAGCCATGTCATCGTCTTCTTCCTCCATCTTACTCTCTTCAACTGATTGTAACACCCCATTTACATTGGAGCTAACATCCTTTTCTCCTTCATCAGTGTTGGTGTCTTTGCAGTTGGTCAACACCTCCTTGATAATCTGTTGCTCACAGACTCGTATTGGTTATACTCTTCCTTTGCATTCTAGATTCATACTGGTGTTTATCAGATCCATAGTACTTGTGGCTATTTTTACCTTTCCACAATGAAATGATGTTGGTTCACAAATGTCTCAATATAGGTGTATTACCTCCTCCCTCAGTCGACCAATCTTTCTGAAGGTATTTAAGTTCTACAGACTCAGAGGCACACCATAGTAGCTAATCTAAACATACCTCTTCTATTGAAGTTGCATTCCAAATTTCCACTCCATGATGTATTCACACCAGTCCTGGAACCAATCATTAAATAGACAATTCGTACTTCTCAAAGCTTCCCTAGAACTGACTGATATGACTGCATCACGCCTTCCTCCTTCTCTCACCATTACATTCTTCACTCCTTTTGCTTTGAGTTCTTTTTTCACCTCTATAGCAAAGTAGTTGGGTTTGAGCCTCATAATCATGCTCTCATACAACCAACTATTTCCTATTTCTTCTACTCTGATTGTGGTAGTTGTGTTACCTCTTGGTTGGACTCCTTTTGTGACCTCCACGAATGACCTTCCATCACTGCCTTAATTCCACCTTTTTGTTCTGGTTATTTCTGATGGCCTTCTTGTCTCCATGTGCCTCAACTATACTTGTTTCAACCTCATTCTTTCACCTTTTTCTTTACCATAAATTGCACTTTGGACTGTCAAAGCTTTGTCATCAACCCATAATCCATTTACCTTTTGTTCTACTATACTAGCTGTAACAGGACAATCAAACCGTACAAACCCAAGCCTTGTGTTTGTTGTTTTCTTCCTCTTTTGTGGAATGAAGACATCCTTGACCACGCCAAACTTTATAAACAAAGCATACATACTTCTTGGTTTCATAGAATCTGGTAATTTATCCACAAATAGAGTGTACAGCACTGCTCGGCTACCTTCCTTCCACCGATCTTGATTTGCTTGTCTTCCTCTCTGTTTTGTCCCTAGAATCCATCCTCCATCTTTAATTTGCTGTTGTTCACCCATTTTTTCCTTTGCTGTTGTTCACCGAGGTTTACTGTCATCTTGCCCTTGAGGGCTTCTCAATTGAGAGAAGCCAAACTCTTTGTTTAAAATTATGTCTTTTTATCTTAATGCATTATATCAATCATTATATTATATAAGAATCAACATATAAGTCAAGGTGTACATAAACAACAAAGGAAACCATCAATAAAGAAAAAGGTGAGTGATACCGACATCATTGCTAAAACTTTCATCCCAAATAGGTTGGCACAGAAAAGTTAGCACAATCATAATTTAGCAAAGGCTCGTCAACCAAAACCAAATGCATCACAACATTCATAAAGCCAATTGCTTGACTCCAAAATTGTTTCAAGCTTAAACATACCATTACAAACAAACCAATTGACATACCACCCCTTCACCTACCTTTTATGAGATCAAGTCAAAAGATAAAATCATTAACTAAGAACTCCAAAAAATTAAACTTAAATTTAACCGAAAGAGCCACTCTAGTCTTGATTAAATCCACAACTTCCCCATCCGGTTGAGTACCATTGAAAATGCATTAATTTCTCAACTTCCAAACTGTCACACAAAACTGCAAAAGGGATTACCTCCCAAGTCACCATTTCTTCTTCTGAAATCTAATGCAATGCCACAGAGTAAATAGATAATGTATAGATCCCGGCATAACCCATACTGCACACCCCATCATCTAATGCAATCTATACAAACTCGCCAATCAAATGTACATAACGGTAACACATGTTCACATGATTCCACTACCAAAAAAAAAAAAAAAAAAAAAAAAGGAAGAAGAAGAAGAAGAAGAAGAAGAAGAAGAAAGGCTTTCATTTTTATCATTGAGACACCAATCTGTAAACCAAATTCCCTCGATTTAATTCCTCTAATCCACACCAACCAACCCAAATTGAAGTCCTTGAGGAGCAGCATTATTCTAAATAAATTTTGTTAATCCAAACTTCTAACCATTATTGGATTCAAACCATTTATATCAAGTTTGAACAGAAAACGGACCATCAGGATGAGTTATCCAAAGTAGCCCATCCTTACTACCAGGCCTGACTGAAGGCTCATGAAATCTTTCAGCTTCTTACATTCCTCTTGCTCCCACACAAAAGCAATCTTCTAAATTGTAAAGACCAACTTGAATTACAATTTTTCACACCAATAATCTCAACTAGAGAAACATCTTTATAGCAAAATTGAAAAGTTTGGGAAAAGCAATCATAAGCAAAACATCGTTGAGCCAAACATCCTTCCAAAATGAATTTCTACTACCATCATCGACCCTCATTTTGATATTTGACATAAAAAAATAAAAAAAGATCAGGTACCTCTTATTGATATCTATATTATCTCTCAAAATTTTGGACAACTTATTAGAATCTGCCTTTAAAGGAAACGAACTAAGGTATGGAAACTCATATTTAGCACACAACAAATTTCTCCATAGTGAAATTAGAAGATCAACAGAAAAATTACAAATGATAATTGTAATATAAGCGTTGTCAGAGATACTCAGGACTATTGCCAAGACTAACAGGAAATATTTTATGAAAAACTATCTCAGTTTTATCAACAAGAAGCTGCCAAATTGCGCGTGCAAATAGGAAATTTGCAGAATTCAAACAGGTGATTCCTTTAGTACTTAGTAATATCATACTTGCTGCAATTTGATGCCTTCACCTTCACTAATAAATTGATGAGATTTGTCAATAAATAAAATAAAATAAAATAAACATGGATGAGATTTCCAGGCACATGCGGGGTGAGTCCCTGTGCTCTTTGTCTATGAGGGATCTCAAGAACTTGGAGGGTCGATTAGAGAGAGGCATCAGCAGAATCCGCTCCAAAAAGGTGCTAGTTATGACCAATGTGTAAATGTTTAATGTAATCACATGGAAAGTGTTAATCTTTTCAAAGCTAGTTCATTCATTCCTTCTAACAATTATTTTTCTTTTCTTTTCTTTTTTAATTTCCAGAATGAGCTATTATTTGCTGAAATCGAACTTATGCAAAAGAGGGTAAATAATTTTTTCGCTTCTCTTATTCATGCTTATTTTCAATTACTCAAATATTATTGTTCTTTATCAAACAACATAGATTGTTTATTTTATTCTCGAAGCTGAGCAAAAATGATTTCCTTTAATATTTTTTGATGCCTGACATATACTTATTTTCATTACTTCAATCTTGTTAACCTCTAAAATTGTGTGATGCACAACTTCATCAATTATGCTTTGTAGCTGAAAAGAAAGGAGGCTGCCTTACATGTTAATGTTTCGATATTGACATAATCAACTGAGATGTATCATTAGCGAACATATTTGTATATAAGAGTGAATTGGAAAATATAAGGTCTTAGTATCTATTTGTCCATATAACCGACAATATGTCAATTTCATAAGCCATAATGTTCTGTTCAACTATTGCATGTGCTTACAAGGAAGGCCTTTATAATTTAGTTACCCTGTGACAAATTCTATAATTCAAATTATCTGGAAAATTATTTAAAACAAAAATATTAATGTTTATTTATATGGGTCAACCTCACAGACGTTTGGTGTAGTTTCTGTTTCTATTTTTTGTTTTTTATTTTTCCAGAGAGAAAAGAAAATTTAACTTAAAACAGATGCAATACATGTGGAGTTATGTGAATAAAGGGAGGATGAAATGGTGTGGAATTTGGAAAAGGATGGTGTATTCACAGTGGGATCCCTATATAAGCAGCTTGAGAATCACTTTGGTCATAGAAAGGATTATACTTGATTTATTTGGAAGGGTTGCACACCTCTTAAAATCAAAGTGTTTTGTTGGACTGCACTATTGGGTGAGATTGCTTCAAGGGAGTTTCTTCTTAAGAGAGGTATTACTACCATCCCATCTGGTGTAATGACAACTGTGCTCTTTGTAGTAGCGAGTTGGAATCTTTCGATCACCTCCTTTTACATTGTAGTAGGATATGAAAAATTTGTTGTTCTATTAGTAATTAGTGCGACCTTTCATGGGTGTGTCCAGTGAATACAGTGAGTCTTTCAGCCTGGTGGCTTACTTTTAAATTTAACGGTATTATAAAAGATGTGTGGGAGGCTCGGTTTTTTGCAGTATTATGGACTGTATGGTTGTCACGCAACAGAGTGATTTTTGAAATTGTTGAGATTGATTGGGGAGATGTTTTTGACACAGTTAAGTGGAGAACGGCGACTTGGGTTAAATAGAACATGATGATCCCTCACTGAGCCTGAATATTTGGTGTATAATTTAGATACAATATGTCATTTTTGAAGACTAACTATCTTCAATGCTTTGACGTGAGAAAATGAATTGGCCCAGGTACTACTAGTTTGTCTAGTGAAGGTGTGGTGGAAGTTGGCAAGTTCAAATGATTATTGCCGTTGGGGCTTGAGTATCATTGGTAGCCTGATTCTACAGTAGGGGAACAACACTGCTGAGGTGGGTGCTGGATAGGATTATTGCTGCTATATTTGCATTTTTGGGTTGTGAAGCTTTACTATGGATTTGGGTGTTCTGGTTGGCCTCTCACCAACACTTGATGTGGTATTTGCATATGATTGGGTTAACTCTTCGGTGCCAACTTAATTGAGATCGGTTTGCCTAGCTGGTAGTAGTTGCGGTTATCTTTTTCTTCTTTATTGATGTAATGATCTTATTATTTATCATCAATAATTTTTTTTTTTGTGTGTGTGTGTGGACAAAAAAGAAAAAAGAAGTACTTGTAATGAATCAACCTTGGTAGTCTTAGACATTCATACCTAGCCCTAAGAGGAGTTGATGACAAGGTACTAAATAAACAAAAAACAAAAATCTATACATGTAATTCGTTTCTTTTATTTTTTATTTTTTTTCTTTTATAACACAAGAAATTTTAATTAATAAATAGAAGACATACGTAAGATTAATAAGATTGAGGATAATTGCATCATTATCAATATATTACATGCCAACTATATTGGCACCCAACGTGAGACCAACAATATGCAACACCATACACACCCAAAGTTGAAAAGATCTCAAATTGAAAAAAAAACACTACATAGAACAACCCAAGTACTAAAATCATCCACACACACAAAAATCCAAAAAACCAAAATCATCAATACTAAACATGTAAGTGTCTTAACATATAGGTTAAAGAATAATATAAAAATTAGCAAGCGTTTAAAGACATTCATAAAATTTGAACAAAAAATTAGGAGAAGAATTATTGGAAGCATTATTGATGTTTGGAGGATTCTAAAATTCAAAAGAAAGGGTTGTTTAAATGTCAGTAGAGGTGTTGACTTTGGAAAGGGAAGGGTTGACAAAACAACACAGACGGTCTGTATTATTGTTCGATTTTGTTGGATTGTTGTAAAGGAGGGAATAAGGTTCTAAATCACAGTATCGGGTAACGTAACGGTATCGATCGTGGAGTATCGGTATCGATAGTATCGATCAGTACGTATCGAGAATCGGGTATCGCAGCGGTAAAATTTTAAAAAACATTTTATTGGTTGTTCAGCTTTTTCTTTCTCGTACTGGTCTAAACCGGTGAGTATCGGTCCGTCGCGGCTTGTGTAACGGCTTGTGTAACAATTACAGGCCGATACATACTGGGACTTGGCCGATACTCCTACGATTTTCATCTCAACGGTATACCGGCCTGTATCCGTCGCGGCACCCCATTTTTCCAATACGTATCGGCCAATATGTAGCGTATCGGCCGATATTTAGAACCATGGAAGGGATGCACATGATATTTTAAATTTTTTTATAGAAATTTACAATGTTATATTAGAAATAAATGAAGAAAAAGTATGAAGTGTCTCTATAAATGTCTCCCTTTGTGTATTATATTGGCCATTTGTCTCCTAATACTCAAGGAATTACAATATAAAAGTATTAATTGTAATATTTTGATCGGTTTAGTTTGTATTGATTAATCAAAAAGACCTTATATTATGAAAACAAACTCCAAATAGAAATTCTTATTGGTTTTGGGTGGTCGGTTCAATTCCATTGAGTTTCTTTACTCCCTAATATGAACATTAAACTTTAGTTTGCTCAAAACCATTAAGTAGTGAATAACAAATTGACTCCAAAAAATCATCTATTGAACATTTATTGAAAAATGGTAACTAAGTTTTGGAAATTTTGGACAATAGTTAAAAAATGGACTCCAAATGAGGAGGATAGATTCTAATGGTGAAGCCAAGAGGAAAGCAAGAAGCAGAGAGGAAAGTGGGTAGTGCAGTATATGAAAATATTATGTAATTATGGTATTATTATGTAATTATGGTACTATGCAATTATGGTATTATGTATCAATTAGGCAGGTTGATATTCGATTGATTGTATAGGATTATTTACTATTATAGATTAGGTTTAGGATTGCTATAAATATTGATTATAATTGTTGTATTCTACAAGTTGAATATACAAGTTATCATCTTCAGAAACTTACATGCTATCAAAGCCGTGTCCGAAACCCTAGCCATTAGCCTCAGAAATTGTGATCGTCATCAACAGAAGTCGTAATCGTTGTGTGGCCTGAAATTTCACGTCGCCATCGTCACTCCTTCACTCGGTCTTCTTCATCGCGACCACTGGTTTTCTATCTCAAACTTGTCGCGATCTACTTCTGATCATCATCGGACTCGCGATTCTTGTTTCTTGTTCGCAATTGCTGCTGTACTCTGTCTCAGACGAGTCGCGAACCACCTCTAGCCCTCGTCTTCTGGTTTGCAATCTGGTTTAGCTTCGGATCTGGTGACTGTCGTCTTTTGGTTTGCGATCTGGTTCTCAACTGTGGTGGTATTATTGCTAAAGTATTCTTGGTTTACTAGTTATTCCACTTTGACCTTGAGGTTTTCTGGTATTTGCAATCTCATCCTTTCTGAGTTCTCATCATGTCTGAAGACAAAAGTCATGCCATTAGTTGCTGACTAACTGGTTGTAATTACACATATTGGGCCAGTGTTATGAAAAATTTCATCGTCGGCCGTAAAACGTGGGGTTCTGTTTCTGGTTCAGTCCATCATCCATTTGATCCTAAGAAAGAGGGATATGAGGCTATGTGTGATGCTTGGGATTTTGATAATGCTCAGATTTTGACTTGATTCCACAATTCTGTGGAAGATTGCTTTGGCATGATATTCTCTAAATATTCCACTGCAAATGAGGTGTGGGTGTATTTACCCAATGTCTATCAGCAGTCCAACTTTGCCAAACAATATGAGTTGGAAACAACTATTTAGGGTGCTCGCCAGCGTGATAAGTCTATTCAAGACTTTTATGTTGAGATGACTGGTCTTTGGGATCAGCTTGCTTTGATGGAGCCTCCTAGCATCAAGGTGCTAGATGATTATCTACAGTTTTGGGAAGATGGTCGCCTAGTCCAGTTTCTGACGGCTCTCTGCCCTCAGTATGAGGCTATCCATGGTGGCATCCTTCATCGGTCTCCTCTCCCCTCTGTGGATGCTATTGTTAATGAGTTCCTCTCTGAGGAAACCCATCTTAAGACAGCCAGTCAGACTTCGTCTCCATCCGTCTTCTTGGCTCCTACTCAGCCTCCTCTATTGTCGACCCCATCACGTCATCAGCTTCAGGGCCATGCGAAGCACAAGAAAGGGCCAGTAGCCTCTGATTAGTGTGCTTTTTGCCATCAGAAGGGCCATTGGAAGTACAACTATCCCAAAAAGGGACGTCAGTCTGCTCAGTCTTCTTAGCCACCTCAGGCACAGTTTCGACCTCCTGCTACTGCATCTCCTCCGGTTTCTAATCCTGACTTGGCTTCTTTGCGTGCCTAGATGGCTCAACTTCAGCATCTCATGTCCACCTCCTAGCCATCTTCATCTGCTTTTTCTCTCACCTCTCTTCATGTAGGTTTCTTTGGATCCTCTACAGGTATCTCCTCTTCTGTTTGGCTTTTTGACTCGGGTGCCTCTCATTATATGACTCATCACCTTTCCTTACTTCAAAACTATATCCCTTATTCCTCTTCTATTACTGTTAGTACTACTAA